TTTAAGCTAAAGGTAGGTTGGCTGATTTAATTTCACAAACTTGTCCAACCCAGAGATTAGATGTCTTCTCTCTATCCCCAAATTTTCCATCTTCTCTGCTCTATTCTTGTTCACTTTCTCCTTTCATATTTTTTTTTCTTCTTTCTTCCGAGAAGACCTGGAAGGAGCATAGCTGGACACGCATGGATGTGAGTTTTGCCTCTGGCTTGTTTATTGGCCGTGTCATCTTAGATGAGTCCTTTGTCCTTGCTGGACCTTAGTTTTTTCTCGTCTTTAAAGTAGTCACCATACAATATCTCTCCAGTTATTTTCACAGAGGTGTTTTCAGAGGGATAAAGCAGAAAGCATAAACTGTTATAGAATGTATGCGGTTCATTCACTCATTCATTCATTCAACAAATATTTGTTGAGTACCTATTTGGCACTGTTCTAGACACTGAGGATACTGCAGTGAACAAAAACAGAAAGGAATCCCTGTCTTTACGGAGCTTGCATGCCAGTAAGGGAGATGGTCAATAAACAACAGAAAAAGCAAAATATGTTATAGCAGATATGCTACGAGGAAAAATAAAGCAAAGAAGGGAGATATAAAATCTTGGGTAGGGGTGATAATTTTAAATAGTGTGGTCAGGGATGGCTTTACTAAGAAGGTGACATTTGAGTAAAGGCTTGAAGATGGCAAGGAGGTGAGCCACATAGATATCTGAGGAAGAGCATTCCAGGCAGAGGGAACAGCACGTGCAAAGGTCCTGAGGCAGGCCCATGGCTAGCGTGTGGGAGGAACAGCAAAGCGGCCTTTGTGGCTAGAGTGGAGTGAGGGAAGGGGGAGAATGGAAGAGAAGGGAACAGAGGAGTGATGGGGATGAGGTCAGGTAGGGCCTTGTGGGCCATTAAGGACTTCAGCTTTTCCTCTGAGTGAGAAGGAGCAATGCAGTGTCGTAATCTGACTTACTCTATTCGAACAGAATCCCTCTGATTGCTGTGTTAGAAATAGGTAGAAGGGGCACGGGCAGAAGCAGGAGACCAATGTGGCAGCGACTATGAAAATCCAGGTGAGAGAGAACAGTGGCTCAGACCACCTTCTAGTCGAAGTGGAGGTGGTGAGAAGCGGCTGGATTCTAGATGCATTTGGAAAGTAGAGCTGATGGATTTCCTGATGGGTGTTTTTTTTTTTTTTCTTAAATTTTATTTTACAATTTATTTATTTAAATTTTTGAACAATCAACTTTACTGATGTATAATTTCCGTACGATAAAATACATTTGAAGTATACATTGGTGACAAATGTATGCACCTGTGTAAACTACCAGCACAATCAAGATACAGCACATTTCCACCAACTCAGAGAGTCTCCTTGTGCTCCCTTTGCATTTGATCCCTCCCTGGCAACCACAGATCCGCTTTGTGCCGCCATAGGTTAGTTCCTCCCAGACTTTCATGTAATTCGAATCATACAGTTTGTGCTCCTTGTCTCTGGCTTCATTCACTTGGCGTGTTTTGGATATCCATCCATGTGTTGCGTGTAACAGTATTTCATCACATGGCTGCACTACCATTCGTTTATCCACATACCACGTGATGGACTTTTGGGTTGTTTCCGTTTTGTGTTGTCTCATTTTTTTATCCTCAAAAAAATCCTGCAGAGGGGTATCACTTTTTCATTTTCCAGATAAGGAAACTGAGAATCAGAAGAAGCAACTTGTCTAAGGTTCCACCCCTTAGATGATATTTGGAACCAGGTTGACTCCACGTCCATTCTGTCCCTCTGCCCCCATCCAATGTAGTCACATGCGAATGAGCTTGGAAAGTGGAACCTATTCGTTCCCCATCTGTCCGTCTCCCCAGTTTTCAACCGTTGGACCACATTCTCATTTCTCTGGCCACTGCACCTCCCACGCACCCCCATTTCCCCACTCGCTCAGCTTCAGTTGGATCTTAGTTCAAGCCCCAGTTCTGTTCCCAGTCATGTAACTTCTCTGGACACCAATCCACCTGTGCAATGGAGATCATTTTTGCATCTTCCTCTCGGAGAACCTGCCTGATGCTCTCCCCTCCATTTCTCTTTGGCCCTTTTATAGCTGATACTTCAAGATCCTTGGTTTTTCCAGGCTGGTCACTGAAGGGAAGGAGGGCCCAGATGTCTCTCACCTCTGGCTGCTCCTCCTGCTGTACAGAGGGCCTGGGAGCACCAGGGACCTTCCCTGACAGATTAAATCAGAACTTCTGGTGGTGAGGCCCAGGGACCCATTGTTTTATTGGAGAGCTTCCCCGGTGCTTCTAATGTGCACCAGGATTAAGAACCATGGGCTCGGAGCATGAGCTTTGGTATCAGATAGACTTAGGTTTGGATCCTGCTTCTTTGGTCAAGTTGCTTTACCTCTCAGACCACCAGCTTTCCCTCCTGGAAATAAGCATCACCATGGGACCTGCCTCACAAGACTGCTGAGAGGTTTAAGTGAGCCTTTGACAGTGTACCTGATCCTTAATGGGGGCTCTTAATGCAGAAGGGGCTAGGGTGGGGGTAGGGGTGGGGCCCTGAACTGGAGCAGCCTGTGCTAGGAGGGACCAGGCAGTGCAGGGGCATCTACATGTGCTGTCCTTTGCCTCCAGAGGCACAGTGTCCCAATTTCTAGAAGTCCACCATCTCAGAGTTAGGTCAAGCCCTAGAGAGCTTTTCACCCAACACATCATTGACAGACAAGGCAACTGAGGCATTAAGAAAGGGAGTTGCCCAAGGTCACCCAATGAGAGGAGTCTGTGGACAGGCCCAGACAGTCATTCTGCAGACATCAACAGAGCACGTCTATGTGCCAGGTTCCAGGGATCCATCAGAGAACAAAACAGAAAAGATCCCTGTCTTCATGGAGCTTCCATTCTAGCAAGGGAAGAAAAGCAATAAATGTCATAAATAGGTCATATATATGTTAGAGGGTGAGAAATGCTGTGGGGAAAAAAAGGACAAGTAGGAAAGGGAGCAGAGTGCTGGCTGGGGTGAGGTGCCGACATACTGCAGTTTTCAACAGCACGGTCAGGGTAGGTCTCATGGTGCAAAGACTTGAAGGATATTTGAGGAAAAGAGTCCCAGGCAGCGGGAACAGCCAGTGCAAAAGACAGAATACGAGCACGCCTGTTGGAGTGGGCTTAGGAGTCCCTTTCCTGGTTGGCTGTTTCTGTTACCCAGCCATCCTGCTCTTGGGCATTTGATGGAAAGAAGGCCATTTGGCTTTTGTTAACCAGGGGAAAGGATAAGCTTGTGTTTAAAACAAAGGCTGCTAATTTCTGCCTTTAGTTCAGTTAACGTTATGTGTCAGGTACCGTTCTATGTGCTGGAGGGACGAAGATGGAGGCAGTGGTGCTGCCGTGGGAGAGAGAGACCAAGATGGCGGCACAGGTGTGTGTGTGGGTGGGTGAGGGGAGATGTGACCTGGAGGCGGCTGTGTATCCCCATCTGTGGAGACGTCAGTCTCCAAGCTGACATCTGCAGAGGAGAGGGGAAAGGGTTGGGGAAGTCAGCAGGACATAGATGGCAATTAAAACACACTGGATGGTGCATTCGCCCAAGGAGAATGGGAGAAGGTTTTGGAGGGAGCCCTGGGAGGAACCACATGTTGGGATGGGGGTTATTTTGGCAGCTGTGTATCAGTTTGTTCACGTAACTCAGGTGCCCTCACGTGTTAGCACAATTTTATAAAATCACAGCATCACAACATTTTTTTTTTTGAGACAGAGTCTTGCTCTGTCATCCTGGGTAGAGTGCAATGGTGTCATCACTCACCGCAACCTCAAACTCCTGGGCTCAAGCCATCCTCCTGCCTCAGCCTCCCGAGTAGCTGGGACTACAGGTGTGCCAGGACACCCAGCTAATTTTTCTATGTTTAGTAGAGACGGAGTCTCGCTCTTGCTTAGGCTGATCTTGAGCTCCTGAGCTGAAACAATCCTCCCACCTCGGCCCTCCCAGAGTGCTAGGATTACAGGTGTGAGCCACCACACCCTGCCTCAACATATCTTTTTGTTCAGAGTTTTTCAGTGGTATTAACTCATTTAAACCTAAAAAAAAACCCTATGAGGTAAGAGACAGTTGTTATCTCTGACAGATGAAGAAGCTGAGGTACAGAGAGGTTAAGTCAGTTGCCCAAGGTCACACAGCTGGGAAGGGCAGAGGCAGGATTTGGACCCAGGAGCCTGGCTCTGGAGCCTGTGCTCCTAACCACTAGTCTGTGCTGGCTTTCAACTCACGTAAGGCTTGTGTGGCCTACTAACAAACTCTATCATTCCAGAAGCTCGTGACTTGTGTACCGGCAGGCCTTGGTTGCTGACACCTCCTCGTACACACCACTGTCCTTTGTATGCTTGGTTTCACATGGTCTCAGTTTCACTAACGCCCACAACCTCACACACTCAGCCTCGAGTGCCTCATATTTGTTCTCTGACACTCAGAGGGCCTTGCACACTCAGAACCTCATACACATCCCTCACGTCACCTCCACGGGGCCTCAGGCACTCACCCCACCATGTACACACCAACCTGCGCATTCACGATCAAAAGACACTGGCACGCATGCCCACAAAGGTGTAAACACAGTCTGGTACAGATACACACACTCACAGCCCTGTGTTCTCCAATTTTTACACCATGGTGCAAACTCACTGGCTTGTGTCACCTGGGATGCTAGGATTACTGCGCATGCGCATTTAACCTCGCGGACCCACAGGCCCTTGCCTGTTCACACAGCTTTGCACTTCTGCACGCTGGCTCGCTCATCTTGCACACTTGTGACCTTGCCGTGTTCCCACCAGAGGAAATACTCACACCACGGTGCAAACTCCTCCTGGCTTGCCCACTCGTGTTAACCTCGCACAGGCACGGTCACCTGGCACCCTCTGCCCCCGCGGCTGTTCGTGCTCTCTCTCAGCCCCGCTCTGCCTTGCACACCAAGTCACTGTGCACACGCGGGGCCCCGTCGTGCCGCCCCACTGACGCGCCCTCTCCTCGCCCGCAGGGACATACCAAGGCCAGTTCACCAACGGCATGCGCCACGGCTACGGGGTGCGCCAGAGCGTGCCCTACGGGATGGCGGTGGTGGTGCGCTCGCCGCTGCGCACGTCGCTGTCGTCCCTGCGCAGCGAGCACAGCAACGGCACGGTGGCCCCGGACTCGCCCGCCTCGCCGGCCTCCGACGGCCCGACGCTGCCCTCGCCCGCCATCCCGCGCGGCGGCTTCGCGCTCAGCCTGCTGGCCAACGCCGACGCGGCCGCGCGGGCGCCCAAGGGCGGCGGCCTGTTCCAGCGGGGCGCGCTGCTGGGCAAGCTGCGGCGCACCGAGTCGCGCACGTCCCTGGGCAGCCAGCGCAGCCGCGTCAGCTTCCTCAAGAGCGACCTCAGCTCGGGCGCCAGCGACGCCGCCTCCACCGCCAGCCTGGGCGAGGGCGCCGAGGGCGCCGACGAGGCCGCGCCCTTCGAGGCCGACATCGACGCCACCACCACCGAGACCTACATGGGCGAGTGGAAGAATGACAAGCGCTCGGGCTTCGGCGTGAGCGAGCGCTCCAGCGGCCTCCGCTACGAGGGCGAGTGGCTGGACAACCTGCGCCACGGCTACGGCTGCACCACGCTGCCCGACGGCCACCGCGAGGAGGGCAAGTACCGCCACAACGTGCTGGTCAAGGGCACCAAGCGCCGCGTGCTGCCGCTCAAGAGCAACAAGGTCCGCCAGAAGGTGGAGCACAGTGTGGAGGGCGCCCAGCGCGCCGCCGCCATCGCGCGCCAGAAGGCCGAGATCGCCGCCTCCAGGTAGGACCCCTGCTGGGGGCGGATGGGAGGGGCTCGGGTCGGGGAAGGGGTCCTGGGGCAGGGCAACCCAGGAGGCCCTGTCTCCAAGCCTGTTTCTGCTTCTTTTACCGTCAGGGGTTCCCCATCATCTTTAGGGGGTTAACTGGATGCTCTCCAGGAGCTGGTGTCAGCTGTTCACCCAACCATTCATCCTCTCATCCATCCACTGAGCCTCACCCAACCCCTCCATTGACTTAAGCCTTCTGTTCACCCAATCTTTCTAATATCCACCCGAACAACCACCTCTCCAATCATCCACCCCAGCCTCCCCCCACTCCACTTTCTATTTACCCACTCAGCCATCCGCTCACCTATCCATCCACCCAGCCACGCAGCCAGCCACCCAGACGTCCATCCGAATCCATCCAATCCCTTCATTCACCTAACTTCTCTAACACCCACTGAACAACTCTTTTCACCCACCCAACCATCTCCAGTCAGGAAACCCCTCTGATGTCCACCTGAACAACCACTCATCCACACAACCACTTGTTCACTCCCATCCACCCATCCAATTTTCCATCCTTTTATCCACCTTAACCATCAGCTCAACTACCCAGACATCCATCCAAACATCCAGACACCCATTCTACCACTCATCCATCCCCTTATCCACCAATCACCTGCTCTCACGCAACTGTTTCCATCCACCCGGCCACCCATCTTGACGTGCAATCACACGTCAATTCACACAACTACCTCCACTTATCCAGCCACCCCCATCACCCAATAACAGTTCCATCCAACAGTCCGTCCGCACTTCCATTCATTCCCCCGCCCACCCAACCCTGCATCAATCCACCCTCCCATCCGCTAAGCCCCTGTTCTATCATCTGCATTCAAACCCCTCTAAGTCGTCTCACTGTACTTCAGATAAACTGCTAGTATTGGCTCCAAACGTTTGCAGCACGTACTAGGCGCATGGCAATTTTAAGTGCTTTACAAATATTTGACTCATTCACTCCCCTTAACAACCTTATAAGACTCCATTTTGCAGATGAGCTAAAGGAAGCTCAGAGAGATAATGTGACTTGTCCAAAGTCACATTTAGTGAGTGGCATTTCCTAATCTGGTTCCCACCCTCCTATCCAGCCTCATCTTTTTTTTCTTTTTTACCATTTTTGCCCTGGGCCTGGATTGTTTTCCTCTATGCTAGTCACTCTGGCCTTTTATCATCCTTCTGCAGTTCCTCCTGCCACAGGGCCTTTGCTCATGCTACTTCCTCTGCCTGGATTGCTCTCCGTCCTCTGCCTGCCCACTTAATTTCTACACCTCCTTCAAAGCTTAGGTCATGCCTGACTCCCTTGGAGAGCTGACAAGGTCCAACCCCCAGGACAGGCAGACTCTCACTCAACCGCGTGACCTATGCTTAGAGCATATCACAGTTGCAGCTTCATGTTGCTTATGTGATTTGTTTTTTACCTACCACGTGTGAAGGGCTCCCTGTGTGCCGGTCACTGTTCTGAGGTCTTTACCTGTATAACTCATGTAATCTTTACAAGGTCCTAATGAGGCAGGCACTGCTATTATTCTCATTTCGCACATTTGGTGTGAGCTGCAGAGACAGCAGTGGGTGCAACAGGAGGGTGGTGCAAGGCACTCACCTATCCTGGGGCTGTAGCAGTCCTGTTGGAAAAGGGGCCTGTGTTCTTCAGAGTTAAGCAGACCTAGGGCCAAATCCTGGCCCTACCATCTTTGAGCTCAGTGACCTGGGCGGATCAGGTTGCCTGTCTGAGCTTCAGTTTCCCCATCTGTGGCACCACCATTTCTTAGTTGTATGTCCTTGCAAATCAGTTTTCATCTCTAATCTCAATTGTCTCATCTATAAAGATGGGGTTGGTCTAAGGCTTAAGAAAGGTGTAGTGCAGGTGCCGTGGTGCACAGTCCTGTCTCGAGGTGAGTTCCCCAGGAAGCAGACGTGGCGATGGAGATCAGTGAGCAGGAAGTTTATAGGGAGTGCTCTCAGGATCAACGCTGTGGGGATGGGAAGGAAGCAGGATCGGGGCGGTGGGAGATGCTGGGCTGCTGTGCAGTCTCCACAAAGGTCTCAGCCGACCACAAGGGGCGCTCTGCAGAAGTGATGACCTTCAATGTTGTCCCAAATTGGGGTAAGGAGCTGAATCTTTATACCCTCTGCATTGGATGCAGGCTACCTTCCAGAAAGGGCCTTGTCCTAGGGCTGAACAGCTCTCTTCAGCCAAGGGCAGTCTCTGGAGAGGGCTGACAGCTGGCAGCTCTCTGAGCAGCTGGGAGTGGAGAAATAAGTCCTGTAATTCTGAAGAGGAACCTGAGTGGCCCAATCACGGGTCCTACCACAGTGCGGGACACCAAGCATGGGCTTAATAAATATTACTTGTCTTGTCATCATTCAATGAATTCGTTTGACAGATGTGGAAACTGAGGCCCAGAGAAGGAATGTAATGTGCCCAGGACCGTCTGGCTAGCAAGTGGGAGACCCAGGGCAGCGGCCCCTACCCCTAGCTTTCTGATTCCAGAACTTTAACCAGCACATCTTGCTGTCTCTAAACTTTGTAAACTTCCATGCATGTGTGAGCAGTTAATATCATCAAGGGGGAAAGAAGGTGTGGTTGATTTTCTTAAGACTTCATGGTTAGAAGCTACTGTGGTGTGAATGTCCCCTCCAAAACTCTGTCAAAAGTGGATTGTCACTGTAGCAGTATGCTAACAGTGTTGGGAGAGGGGATCAGGCCATGAAGGCTCTGCCCTCACGGGTGGGATTAAAGCCCTCACAAAAGAGCAGGTTTGGACTGAGCACAGTGGTTCACGCCTGTACTCCCAGTGCTTTGGGAGGCCAAGGTGGGAGGATCACTTGAGCTCAGGAGCCCAAGACCAGCCTGGACAACATAATGAGACCTCCTCTCTACAAAAAATAAAATTAAAAAAAAAATCAGCTGGGCAAGGTGGTGTGCCCCTGTAGTCTTAGCTATTCGGGAGGATCCCCTGAGCCCAGGAGTTCGAGGTTCCAGCCTGGGCAACAGAGTGAGACCCTATTGCTTAAAAAAAAAAAAAAATAGTGAGTTTGGCCCCTTTCACCTCTTGGCCCTCCTGCCTTCTGCCATGTGAGGACCCAGGCTTCCTCCCTTCCAGAGAACGCAACGTGCAAGATGTCATCTTGGAGGAAGAGAATGGCCTCACCAGACACTGCACATGCTGGCGCCTTGACCGTAGACTTCCCAGCCCCAGAGCTGTTAGCCAGTACATTTCTGTCGGGTGTCTATTAGCCAGCCTCATGTGTTACAGCAGCACAAATGGTCTAAGACAGAGGCAGAGCCAGGCTTATGACCAGGTGATCAGATAATTTATTGTCTAAACCTGGACACTTTTATGGGTAAAAGGGAGTACTTTTTAAAAATAAAACTTTTATGTTGGGATAATTTTAGATTTATAAAGTTGCAAAGATAGTACAAAAAGTTCCCATGTACTCTCTACCCCTTATGTTAACGTCTTGCATTACCATAATGCATTTGTCAAAACAAACACTGGTACATTACTGTTCACTAACCTCCAGACTGTACTTGAATTTCACTAGTTTTTCCACTAATGTCCTTTTGCTATTCCAGGATCCCATGTCGGATCCCACGGTGCATTAAGTTGTCAGGTATCCTTGGTCTCCTCTGGTCTGTGATACTTTCTCATTCTTTCCTTGTTTTTTATGACTTTGACGGTTTTGAAGAGTACTGGTCAGATATTTTGTAGAATGCCCCTCAATTTAGGTTTGTCTGATGTTTCTTTTCTCTTTTTTTTTCCTTTGTCAAAATAGAGTCTCACTCTGCTACCCGGGCTGGAGTATAGTGGCACAATCATAGCTCACTGTAGCCTTAAACTCCTGGGCTCAAGCAATCTTCCCACTTCAGCCTCCCGGGTAGCTGGGACTACAGGCATATGCCACCATGCTCAGCTAATTTAAAAAAAAAATTTCTGTAGAGATGGGGTCTTGCTGTGTTGCCCAGGCTGGTCTCAAACTCCTGGGCTCAAGCAGTTCTCCCACCTCAGCCTCCCAAAATGCCAGGTTTACAGGTGTGAGCCACCCTGCCTGGCCCTGATATGTTTCTTATAATTAGACTGAGGTTATAGATTTGGGGGAAGAATACCACAGAGGTAAAATGCTCTTCTCATCACATCATATCAGAGGGGCACATGATATCAACATGACTTAGCTCTGGTGATGTTAACCTTGGTCACTTAGGTAAGGTCGTGTCTGCCAGTTTCTCTGATGTTAAATTACTATTTCCTTTTTTCTATACTCTGACTTTGGAATCAGACATTAAGTTCAGCTCGTACTAAAGAGGGAGAAGGGTGTGGAATTAAGCTGCACCCTTTGGAGAAGGGA